GGGAAATGGGCTGCAACTGGATCTGTTATGAAGAGAAAAGGAAACTTGGGGTAGGAGTGGGGGTGCCCACTCTAATGATCGGAAAGTTGGTTTATGGAAAAGGGTTTAGATTTTTCTCTTTTGCTTCAAGGGGTATCTCAAGACCAAAAGGTAGAAAAGAACTTCTGCCAGATAGAACTGTCCGTGACTGGAATGAGCTGCCTGAATACTCTGTCACTCGACTTTCTGAGGACACAGAACAACCTCCTTAGAAGGGACTGTGGCATCACAAGAGTTTGAACTGGGTGACCCAAACTGGACTTGATTATGTGCCTCTGGGAGACCCACGCAATCTCATACTGTAGCCGGGAAGCAGCTCATGGCTCCCAGAGAGCATGGAAAGTTCTGGAAAGTAAAATGTGAGGAAGTGAGGCAAGTTCAGGATGGCTGAGCCCTCACGCATGAGGGTGGGGGAGGGAGGTAGTAGTGCAGAGAAATGGGCCTCGGAGATAAAAGTGGAAGCAGAATGGTGAAGGGTCCCCTGTGGCACCATGGATGGGATTCAAGAGTGATGGTTGGCAGCGGGACTGAAGATGGAGGCAAGAGCACATTTCAAGATGAATTCACAGAATTAATGGTGGCAGCAGCCGCAGGGAAATGAGGTGAGAAGAGAGACCGGCTGTGGTGGGGAGTTGCAGGTTTCATGGTGAGTCTGAGGTGACAGTGACAACAGGACACACAAATGGAAAGTGTTGGCAAGTCACAAAAGGACAGCAAAGGGGAAATGCCCAGTAGGCAAGTGATGATGTGGAATCAGAGCTCCAGGAGGTCAGGATGTGAGACCGAGTGATGGACTGTCTACAGAGGTGAAGTCACTCAAGTTTCCAGAGTAGATACCTTTCCAGTGGAAAAGAGTCGAGCATGAGGAGAAGTCTAAGGAGGAGTCTGCAGAGCCGACCTCAGCGAGGAGGTGGAGTGATTAAGAAGACGTGAGAAGGAAGAGGCAGAAGAGAGCGGAGATTCGAGAGTGAAATAGGAAACCCGGCAAGAAGGAAGCTTCTAGGGAGAAGAGTGAGCAACATAAATACAGTCTTGTCTCGTGAGCATTCAGCCGTGTGCTGTGGCAGGTCAATGATAGAGATGTTAATTTTGGCAACAACACAGGTGGTGCAGTGTTGAGTTTTAAAGTGCTTTTAAGTGGATTCTAGCTATTTCTTAAATGGTATTTTCTAAAAAACATGCCTTGGAAAATGACTAAAACTTCGCTCTCTCTCTCTCATTTTCTCTATCAGTAAATTAGAAGTCATTTGAAGTTTAGTAAGTTCCCTTCACGTCGTTGCTTTAAGGATAACGTGCCCCTCTGGGAAAGGTATGCCTGGGTGATGGGACGTGCCTGGGTCGCCTTGGCCAGGGAGGCGGCAGCAGCAAGGACTGAAGTTAACATTCTGGTTTTTGTTCCTTAAAGCAAAAACCAAAGCCAAAATTAAACACTGACTCAGCTCTTGAGAAATAACTTTTGAGAAATAAAATTAAAACAAATGAAATCAGTTTCTTTTCCATTTAAATATTTCCCTTGGAGCTCTATGCCACAAGGACTTTAGGAGGTGATGACTAGATTGTAAGAAATTTGTTTACTTCCAATAATGACACCTAATAAAGGAAAGACTGTGCCCGAGAAAAAGGAAGGGAGATTGTAAGTTCCCAGTTTGGGCAATCTCAGACATTATCACAGTAAGCACAGCTCCATGTGAAAGGGTTTTTAAAAATGAGCTTCAGAAACTAAGCACTAAGAACAAGGAGGAGGTACCTTCCACGACAGTGACGCTAACCAGGATGACAACTAATGGGGGGTGGGGGGGGACTAGATGGCTCAGGCATCCCCTCACCCTTTCAAGCCCTCATGGCTGGGAGTCACAAAAGGCCTAGTTGGGAAAAAAGTATCATAAGACTCTCTTTAGGCATGTCCTGATGTGAAAGCCCTTCCTCTGTAGAGGAGATCTTCTGACAAATGGCTTCCTGGTTCCCGACTCTGCACTGACTCAGCAGAGCCTGTCCAAACTCTCGGCCCTGGTTGTGGTCTCTGGGCAGGACCACAGGCAAAGGAGAGGAGGGAGAGGCTGAGATCATTCACAGTGAAGATTCAGCGGTTTCCACAGACCTGGAGAGTGCCTACGAGTCAGCTGGTCTAACCTGTCATGTCTCACAGATGAAGAAACCGAGACCCAGAGAGAGAAATGCTGTGTTCCACCACAGACCTTCTATTCTGCTGGAAAGGGAGTCTGGGGACTCCAGGGCCCCCTCTCTACAATAACAAAGAAGAATGTATTTGGACTAATAGGCTCCTTTTTTGGGGGGAGATACCAAGTCAGTCATGTTGCCTTTGTAGAGTCCCGCCTCATATTCAGGTAGGTATGACTTCAAATCCTGAAAACAGATTCTCACACATTAAAACTGGAGTTTATGAAAACATCAGCGAGAAGGCGAAACAATGGTCCAGCCCCTCCAGAAAGTATTTAACTTGCAACTCAGGATAATTAGCCCCGTGTATTACCCACTTAGAGTAGTCCCTCTTGTGCAGGGAGCTTTTGTAAGGCCTGAAAAAGAGGCATGTAGAGAGGCTGTAGGTTAAACTGGATTCCTTGGCAAAAGTGAAGAGAAGAGAACAGTGCAAGATCAGATTTCCTGGGACGCCACAAACTGCCGTAGCTTCACTCACAGAAACTGAGGTCTTCCTGTTGGTCTTAACTACCCAACGATGCCAGTGCTATTTAACTTCTCACTAAAATGGTTTGTCCTGCCCTTTATTATTGTTTTAAATTATTATGTATTACACTTATGCTTCCCCCTTGTGGGCAAGATGTGGAAGGGTTCAAGATTTGGAAACATTCAAGGAACAGCCCGGAAGTTACCCATCAAGAATCTTCCTGTTGTCTCGCCAGAGGTTTTGGCATCTATGCCTGCTGGTGTAACACTCTCCTGCTATTTAAAGTACCCAGCGGGAGTTCTCATGAATTCTCCGAGGAGCCACCGCTCTTCTTCTTCCCCTAAGCAGCCTGAGGTGATCTCTGAAAACGGTTTGCTATTCGCTCAACCCAGAAAACCCTACAAAATCATGCAAATCAAGAGGTTCACATCTTCGTGTTCACTTTAAGAACACGTGAGAAACTGCCCAGGCCATCAAGGGTGTGCATACCCGAAAAGCCACTAAGTACCGGAAGGATGTCACTTTGCAGAAGCCATGTGTGCCATTCTGTCATGACAATGGTGGACTTGGTAGGTGTGCCCCGGGCCAAACAGTGGGGCTGCACACAGGGTCAGCGGCCCAAAGAGAGCGCTGAATTTTTCCCGCACATGCTTAAAATGCTGAATTTAAGGGTTTAGATGTAGATTCTCTGGTCATGCAGCACATCCCAGTGAACAAAGCCCCCAAGAGTCGTGCAGAACTTACAGGGCTCATGGTCGGATTAACCCACACATGCGCTCTCCCTGCCCACCATCGAGATGATCCTGACTGAAAAAGAGCAGACCGTTCCTAAACTAGAAGAGGAGGTTGCACAGAAGAAAAGGATACCCCAGAAGAAACCAAAGAAACAAAAACTTATGGCCCAGGAGTCAATCGTGCAGAGAACAACTGCAAATGAAAGTAAGTAAGTGAGTAGTAAGTAAATAAATAAGTAAAGTACCCAACAAAGGTATCCACGAAGGAAAACCAAGACCTAATCTAAAAATCAAGCATTTAGATGTGGTGTATATGTACAATGGAATATTATGCAGCCATCAAAAGGAATGAAATCTTGCCATTTGCAATGACGTGGATGGAACTGGAGGGTATTATGCTGAGCGAAATAAGTCAATCAGAGAAAGACATGTATCAGATGACCTCACTGATATGAGGAATTCTTAATCTCAGGAAACAAACTGAGGGTTGCTGGAGTGGTGGGGGGTGGGAGGGATGGGGTGGCTGGGTGATAGACATTGGGGAGGGTGTGTGCTATGGTGAGTGCTGTGAATTGTGCAAGACTGTTGAATCACAGACCAGTACCTCTGAAACAAATAATACATTATATGTTAAAAAAAAAGAAGATAGTAGGAAGGGAAAAATGAAGGGGGGGAAATTGGAGGGGGAGATGAACCATGAGAGACTCTGGACTCTGAGAAACAAACTGAGTGTTTTAGAGGGGAGGGGTGGGGGGATGGTTTAGCCTGGTGATGGGTATTAAAGAGGGCACGTTCTGCATGGAGCACTGGGTGTTATACGCAAACAATGAATCATGGAACACTACATCAAAAACTAATGATGTAATGTTTGGTGATTAACATAATATAATAAAATAAAAAAATAAATAAAAATCAATCATTTATGGTAAAATAATCACAGTGTATATATAATAGCCACAAATGACAATTTTATACATTCTGTATCATAATCCAAAAAAGTGTGAGGTCCTTGAAGCAAGCACTTTGCTTTTAGTCACTATTTTCTCCAAAGGTTCCAGCCAAGACTTTTGTATGTGCCGTCAGAATTCAGTCAGTATTTCTTGAATAAATTACATTAGTCAGTACAGATTTGTTAAGGAATAGGTGGGGAGGGCAAGTTATTCCCACAAGTTGGTTGCTTTAATCAAATCAAAACCAGACACTGTTAGTGAAGTAGGCTAGATGCTGGCGTCAGTTTCCTGTGGAAGGGCAGGAAAGGTAGGAGGGTGAAGGGGCATGTCCTCGCAGCTTCCTGTAGGTACCCTCGCACCCCCCACTCCTCGCCAGGGTGGCTGTGGCTGGCCGAGGCGTGTCCCTGTGTTGGAACATCAGGGCCTAGCCTGGAGGAACAGCCACCAAGCAGAGATCAGGCCTTCATCCTTCACTGTGGCCGCTGGGCTCTGCAGTCCCGGTGGGCAGAAGGGGGGAGGTGATACGGGTCCAGGGATCAGCATTATTTCAGGGCCTCTCCTGACTCCCCCTCCTGGCCGCTCCCCCACCTGCACCCTTCCGCCCTGATTCCAATCCCCACAGCTCCAACTTACTTGGCAGCGGCATCTTTCCTCAACTGTTCATGCTTCATGAGGAGATTTTTCCGGTCGCGGAAGGCTTTTCTGACCTTGTACCCTTTGTAGACCGCCTGGATTTTGAAGGCAGCGATGTCTTGTATGGCTGCGATGGACAGGGCGCCGTGCTCCAACATGAACTGGATCACTTCATGGCGCTCGCCCAGCAAAGCGTAGTCCAGGGGAGTGTACCTGAAGCAGGAAGGTATTTTTTAAGTATTGGAATGTAATCTGAGGTACACTTAAGCTGGCAATATCATGCAGCAGAAGGAAATCTCATTCTGGGATGAGGACTGTTCCTCAGGCAAGGCTATGTTCTGTGCGCCAGGGCTGTTCCTTTTTTTCTCTGAGGGGACAAAACAAGGGTGGAGCCGGGCTCAGGTGCTTTGTGTTGCTGCCCATGATGATTCCTGAGTTTCGCTTGCTGGCTCACAAACTGGGGGCTGTAGGAACACGTGATCACTTTTCTTCTGCCCCGGGTGCCAAATAATACCCCACTCTGATCTGAAAAGGTACTGTGGATAATATCCTGTGGGTTTCATAAGTTTAAGCCCAGGACTACTGATAGTTAATGCTTATGCAGTAAAAAAATACATCTCCAAATGGAGAGATTTAGTCTGTGATGAGGATGGCCCTTTAAATCAGAAAGCAGAAATTATTAAATAGTGTTGGGACAACTGCATAGCCATCTGGGAAAAAAAAAGATTCTTATATCACATTTTATATCAAAATGAATTCTGGATGAACCAAAGACCGAAATATAGAAAGAGAAACCATGAAAGTACTAGAAGAAACCATGGAAGATTTTTTTAAAAATTGGGATGGGAAGGTCTTTTCTAATAAAAATGATACAAAACTCAAACCATAAGAGAAGAATGATAAATCCAACTACATAAAAATAGCAAAATTTTGCAGGGCAAAAAACCCCAAAAACAAAGATAAAAGATAGTCCCCAGAATAAGAAATACTAATACTCCTAAATATACAGAAATATGTTCAACTTCACTCATTTAAGAGAAATACAAATTAAGACGAACAAAGAGAGTACTTTAATGATCAGATTAATGAGGATCAGAAAGTTTAATAACACACTGTGCTGGAAAGGATGCAGAGAGGCTCTCTATGTGCTACTTTAATCTTTAGAGAGAACTATTTAGTAAGATCTGTCAAAATTATTCATGCATCTGCCCTTTGACAGATCCCTTGCAGGAATATATCCCACAGACCTGCTCTTGTGTGTGAGATGCTTTCTGTACAAGGATATTCACAGAAGCACAGTTTGAAATAGTGGAAGACTGGAGATGACCTCAGTATCCACGAACAGGGCACCGCTTACATCAAGTGCGGGCCATTCGTGTGATGCGGTCTTCTGTGTGATGCAGCCTCAGCACAGCTGTGGCACGTGAATAAATAAGGAAAAATGTCCAGGATGTCTTGTTACATGAAGAAAAAGAAAAAAAATGAAGCAACGGAGCAGTACTGGGGCACCTAGGTGGCTTAGTTGGTTAAGTGTCTGACTCTTGATTTCAGCTCAGGTCATGATCTCGGGGTCGTGAGGTAGAGCCCGGCATCGGGCTCCCCACTCAGCATAGAATCTGCTTAAAACTCTCCCAGAAAACCCAAAAGACTCCACCCCAAAACTTCTAGAACTCATACAGGAACTCAGTAAAGTGGCAGGATATAAAATCAATGCACAGAAATCAGTTGCATTTCTATACACCAACGAGACAGAAGAAAGAGAAATTAAGGAGTCGATCCCATCTACAACTGCACCCAAAACCATAAGATACCTAGGAATAAATCTAACCAAAGAGGCAAAGAATCTGTACTCAGAAAACTATA